AATTAAATTTAAAAATTTCAATAATAGTAATTTAATCTCCAATAATTATTGAAATTTTTTTGTTAAATAACAAAACAAAATAAATTTATACATAATGATTGAAAATACATTTGTCACCAAAAACAATAAATAATTACTGAATTACAGTAAATATTAATTTTAGTATATACAATTATATAATAAATACATATTAAGAGTTTAAAATTATTATTAATAAACATTAATTTTTTTTGATTTATTTTCTCGAATTATTACTTGATATAAGTGAAATTAATTATGTACAATGTTATGTAAAACTTTATATTATTATTAACTTCAATATTATGTTATAATAAATTTTCTACTTTTTAGAGGTTTTGTAAATTTATTACATAATTTCTTTATTTTAACTATTTAAAATCTAGTTATGTCAAATATTTTGTTATTTAAAACATTTAGATATTTAACTACTTAAATAATATGTAAAATATTTAATTTTTTAATTATTAATTATTTATTGAATTTAATTATCCATAAAATCATAATTTATACTATTATTACATAATTTCATATCAATTTTGTAATATATTAAATTATTATTAATTTCAATATTATGTTATAAATATTTTTCTACTTTAAAGAATTTTTTAAAATTTATTACATAATTTCGTTGTTTTAACTATTTAAAATCTAGTTATGATAAATATTTAGCTATTTAAAATTTTAAATAATTTATAAAATAATTTAAAATTTTTGTTATTTGAATTATATATTTTAAAGCTATTACATATTATTAAATATTTGAAAAACATTTAAATTGATAATCTATAAAAACAAAATTTAAATTGTTAGTACATAATTTCGTGATGTATTTTGTAAAAATTTAAATTTATATTTTGGGTTTTTAATAAATATTTTAAAGATATTATATAATTTTATTAGAATATTTAAATAATTCTTAAATTTTTTAATCCAAACTTTCTTTAGATAGATATAGATAAAAAGTTGGGGAGAGGATAAATAGGAATTGGAGATAATTTAGGAGAGAAGCTCTCTACTAAATTAGAGATAATTTTGGAGAAAAAAAGGAATTAGAGATAATTTAGAAGATAAATAGGAATTAGAGATAATTTTGGAGAAAGCGGGGGATAGTGGGGGAGGTAGTTTAGGAGAAGAGATTATTTGGGTTATTGGGAAAGTGCATCACATTGGTTCTTTCAAAAATGACATAGAATTAAAAAAATAAAAAATTCAAAAGCAAATAAGAAAAATGCAAAAAGTGGAGAAAATAGATAAATAGCATCTCCCAAAGGAGAGGATGCTGACATGGACAAACCAATTTTAATATATATATATATATATAATTTTATGGATTACTAACTTTAATTGATAGTTAATATTTTAAAATTTAAATAATAATATTATTAAATTAACTAAATAATATTGTAAATAACTAATTTCACTTATATCAATTAATAATTTTAGAAAACAACTTTCAAAACATTAATATTTATTCATAATAATTTTAAAATCTTAATCTATAGTTATTATATGTTTATATATACTAAAATTAATATATTTATTGTATTTTCAGTAATTGTTTATTGTTTTTTTCGTGATAAAAATATTTTCAAAATTTACGTATAATTTTTTTTGTTTTGTTATTTAATAGAAAATTTTCAAGAATTCTTGAATATTAAACTTCTGTTATTTAACTTTTTAAATTTAATATATTTTATTTATTGTATTTTTGTTATTATTTATTGATTAATATTTTATTAGAGATTAAACTATTTATTGACTAATTTAATATATTTTTTGCATTTATTATATTTTTGTAATTATTGTATTTATTATATTTTATTAGTTATTTATTTTATTTTCATTATCAATATATTTTCAATAAGTGTGTATTTTTGCTATAAATTTTGAATAATTATTGGAGATTAAACTATTGTTACTTATTAGATATTAAACTATTCATTTACTGAAATTAGGATTATTCACGGGTTGGTTCAGCTCAATTGTAGGCTATTTGGCAAACCAAATAGACCTGGTCAAGTTGGGGAGTTGGTCACCCAAAATCAATTGACCATTAGTGAATATCGACGAACTCGGGTTGTATCAGTTTTGGTCGATTTTCGGTTTGGTTGGTCGGTTCAAAAGATTTAAACTTAAAAACTTAATTTAAATTGAAAAATTATAATGGCATTATTAAAAAAATAAATTTAAAAATTAAACTTATGATATAAAATATTTTAAACCAAGAAATATGGGAATTTTTCTACATTCCCGTATTAAAAAATTTATATAAAAATATAAAATATTAATATATATATCTATGGTGTTTAGGCTGTTCAATTTCGGTCGATTTACAAATGGCTAAAGTGAAACTAATCCAAATTTCAATTTTGGCCATGCCATAATGTGTATTGGCGAGAGAAATTTATGACGATATTTCAATAAATGTCTTAAAAACTAAAGTCAATGTCAGCAAAATATGATTTCAACAACATTTAGAACAAATGTCACTAAAAAGTTTTTGGCGTGGAAATGGGAGGGTGACGGGATGTCACAAATTCCATATGACATTTGTCATGAATAAATGTTGTCAAAAGACTTTCTTTTTCGTAGTGGATATTCAAGATACCATAGTTTGGTGCAATGGTAAAAGATGGGGTATTATATATCAAAGAATGTATCATTTAGCTGAAATTAGGATTATTCACAGGTTGGTTTAGCTCAATTATAGGCTATTTGGCCAACCAAATTGACCTGGTCAAGTTGGGGAGTTGGTCACCCAAAATCAATTGACCATTAGTGAAAATCGACCAACTCGAGTTGTATCAGTTTTGGTCAATTTTCGGTTTGGTTGGCCAGTTCAAAAGACTTAACTTAAAATATTTAATTTAAACTGAAAAATTATAGTGGCATTATTAAAAAATAATTTTAAAAATTAAACTTATGATATAAAACATTTTAAACTAAGAAATAAGGGAATTTTTCTACATTCCCGTATTAAAAAAATTATATGAAAATATAAAATATTAATATATATCTATGGTGTTTAGGTTGTTCAATTTTGGTCGATTTACAAATGGCTAAAACAAAACTAATCCAAATTCCAATTTTGGCCACGCCATAATGTGTACTGGCGAGAGAAATTTATGATGATGTTTCAATAAATGTCTTAAAAACTAAATTCAACGTCAACAAAAAATGATTTCAACAACATTTAGAACAAATGTCACTAAAAAGTTTTTGGCATGGAAATGGGAGGGTGACAGGATGTCACAAATTCCATATGTCGTTTGTCATGACTAAAATGTTGTCAAAAGACTTTTTTTCGTAGTGGATATTCAAGATACCATAGTTTGGTGCAATGGTAAAAGATGGGGTATTATATATCAAAGAAGGTATCATATGCTTTATTGTAGTTCCGTTTTATGACCTATATGTTAAAAACAAGAAGACAATAAAGATATTCTTGATCCAAAAGACTAATATTCAAGGGGCCATGGTAAGATCTTGGGCTGACAAGAGAGAACAGAAATTCAACCCTAGATGGCTAGGACCAACATTAGGTAATGGCCCTTGTTTTGAAAGAGTGATATTAAAAACATGAATCAACAAATGTTGTGATCATGTAATATCTAATGCAAGTTTTAGAATGATATACCACATTGCTAAGAACTACCTACTAGGGTAATCCTATATTCCTATCCCTCCAAACCTATTGACATTACCAACTTTGAAATGTTAGACTTTTAGACTTTAACATGGACGAGTTTATATCGTGGTCATCGGTCTACCATTAACCGTTTTTGTTGTCCTTTTTCTTTGCACATTTGATTATATCATGTGAATTTTGAATTTTCATCCTATTCATTTACAAATCATGTCTAACACTTCCAACAATGCCTTCTTTTACTTTTTTGTTGTCTTTTTTTTGTTTGCTTTTTTGTTGTATTATTTTTTTCTTATAGGTTGTAGAAAAAAAAGAATGCAGATGAACTACATTTTTCTTTTTTCTTAGATTAGGAAGTGAATTGTCTTTTGTATTTTTCATTTCATATGCTTTTTGTAAATGGATTATTTTTTTTTATTTTTGAATTTGTATCAATTAATATGAAACAATATTCAGAAAACAATGGCTATGTTTTAATAGATATGTCAATGTATTGTTTTAAATACTAAATTAAACATTGTTATACCAACCAAGGTCTGGCTCATTGGTGTGTTAGTTGGTTTGTTCCAGCATTAATGGGGAATCAAACCCTGCAACTATCGTTACTAATGATGCATAGATACATAAAAAAACAAATTAAGTATTGTTATATAAATACATAAACTTTACATATGATAAAATATTTTTTTTAAATACCAAATGCCTTTAAATAAGAGCAATTAATACTTTTAGTGGCAATTGTAAGTATTATAAATTTATTTACCTTAATTTTAATTAAAATACCCCTAGAAATAATATTTGGTGGCATAATAAATGCCTTTAAATAAGAGCAATTAATATTTACTCAAGTGTGAACTTTGCCAGCAAAAAAGAATTATTAGTCATGTGTGTTTATTGAGACAATCACCAATCTTTTATTATTTTAGAGACATTTTTTTTTAATATGAAAAGTGATTTTTCTAATAATATCATATCAGCACGACAATCGCTATTAATATTATTGGATGCTTGTTATCTTTATAGCGTTTCAAGCCCATGATAATTCAAAGTAGTAGGTGGTTGTGGGGCCCGATTTATGGTTAGTAGGAAAGTTCAAAATCAGCTACTGCATTCGGAGTGGTACAGGACTAAAACCGTGAATCACAACCGTTGATGTAATGATATGGCCCACTAAAAAACGCCGTGACTTGATTGCTTCTAGATATCTTCGTTGCTCTTCGGGTCCCACACTCACTTATTGGTTGTCAACCATCTACTATCATCATTGGTCCTCTCTGATGGTGATGGTTGCCCATATAAAAAAACCACCCACCCATTACTGAATTAGTGAACACAAAGAGAGAGAGGGAGAGAAACTAGAGATAGAAATTGTGTGAGAGAGTGAGAGAGGAGAGATGAGCGAGAATCCACAAACGTTAAACTCTCTGGTGCTTCCATGGAAGTTGAGGCTCCTCCTTCGTATGATTTCGGCTATTACAAATCTCGCTTGTCGATCTGACGGCACCGTCAACCGCCGTCTCCTCAGCTTCTTAGATTCCAAGGTTCCGCCCAGCGAAATACCTGTCAGAGGCGTTAAAACCGCCGATATAACCGTCGACCCTACCCGAAACCTCTGGTTTCGCGTCTTCACCCCCACTGAGCCTGCCGATGACGTCAGCCTTCCGGTGATCGTCTTCTTCCACGGCGGTGGATTCGCCCTACAAAGCGTCGACAACAAGGGATACGATTTCATCGGCCGCCGGATGGCGCTTAAGGCCTCCGCCGTCGTCGTCTCCGTCAACTACCGCTTCTCGCCGGAACACCGGTTCCCGGCACAGTACGACGACGGGTTCGACACTCTCTTGTTCCTCGACGGAAGAAGTTGCAAGGGGTTTCCGGCGAATGCCGATCTCTCGCGGTGCTTCATCGCCGGCGACAGCGCCGGAGCCAACTTAGCTCACCAAACTGTGTGCAGGGCGGCGAAAGCGGAGTTTCGGAATCTGAGGGTGATCGGGTTGATCTCAATCCAGCCGTTCTTCGGCGGAGAAGAGCGGACCGAATCGGAGATCCGGCTCAGGGGAGCGCCGCTAGTGCCGGTGGAGGTCACGGACTGGATGTGGAAGGCGTTCTTGCCGGAGGGTTCGAACCGGGACCACGAGGTGGTGAACGTATCGGGGCCAAATGCGGCCGATATATCGGGTCTGAAATATCCCACGACGTTGTTGTTGATCGGAGGTTTCGATCCCTTACAAGACTGGCAGAGGAGATACTACGAGTGGTTGAAGAGGTCGGGCAAAGAAGTTGAGTTGATCGAGTACCCCAACGCGATCCATGCGGCCTATGCATTTCCCGAATTGCCCGAATCTTCTCTCATATTTACGGAGATCAAGAATTTCGTTGCCAATCAATCTAGAAAAATGCCAAATTGAGATATAAATAAAACGAATAATATTAATTGTTAATTTTATCTTTAACAATCTTGTAGCCGATTATTAATGGGGACTATGCCCAATTTATTAACTGGTACAAGAGATAGGCGGTGTATATGTGTGTGTGGTAGTCTCCTTTCAATTATATTTTAATAAATTTGACTATTTGTATGTTGATAGAATATGTCATAATTATGTTACATATTGTTTATAAAATTACCTTTTAACATAGAATATAAGAATAAATAAAATAGTTAGATCTTTTTATATATTATTAATCTTATCAAAAAAGTATATAATCAGTTTGGAATAGCAAGAACTTGGGACAAAGCCACGTAGCCAAAATCATATAATAAGTACACTCAGTCAGTTTGGTTTTTTTTGATAGAAAGCTAGCAAGATAATTCATTAAATAAAAGTCACAATATATAAAAACCAACAGAGATTAAAGTCTAACTAAGTATTGGTTGGCCAGATTTTTTATCCATTCTGGCATATCAAGCATAAATAACCCAGACTCTTGTATACCCTTTTTTGCAAGCAAGTGTGCTGCAGCATTATAAGACATATTTACATAACCAAAAGAAATTGCAAGATCATCGGTCATTGATCACCAAAATTTGACAGTCAGATTCCACTTCGATTACTTCTTCTTTTACATATTCAAAATCTCCAGGCTTGAGAATCGTCATTGCTTTTACTTGTATGGGGAAAGTTGCTATAGATTTGCCAAAAACTGCAGCTATGATAATACCATTTTCATTCCTTAGAACTGCTCCAAAACTGGATCTTCCAGGACTCTCAAAACTTCCATTCACGTTTAATTTAAGCTCCCCTGCATCTAGAGCTTTTTAAAAAGATGATCTTCCCTCATTCGAGTTTGGATGTTGAAATAAAGAATTTGGCGATCCTACTTAGGAAATTGATGGAGGGTGATTTGGCCCGACCTCGTAGCACGGGTACACGTGGGCGTGACCTTGCTCAAGCGATGACTCAGCGTGATAGCACAACAAGCGCAGCCGCAACTCGGAGGGAAGGGCCCACCGAGTTCAGCCTAGCAACTCGGCGGGATAGGCTACTCGTCGAGAGCCGCCTGGCCTGCACCTCCTCCCCGAGGCTAAGACACCCCGAACTACCTCCGAGCTCGGGGCCCCTTGACCTTTCCTGATACCCAAGCTCCTCCCAGTGGATTTCAGGCCACTCCCAAACAGGAACACCCCGATCCACCTCTAGATACCCCAAGGTAAAGATACCTCGGGTCGGACAGCTCGGTGTAGCTTGCCACGGACAGCTCGCCACTTGCAGGATAGCTCAACACAGGGTAACTCGCGAAAGAGCAATTCGGCATATCGCAGGAAGATCTCCTGCCCGACCACCATACCCGACAAATCTGGGGACAGCAACCACGTCCCTCGTCAGACAGTGTCGTGCCTGCTACCTTTAGAGGGTGCCTTACACCTAACAGGCACGTACCCTGCAATGACGGCCCCACGCGTGCCACCTCAGCCCTGCCTGTAACGGCTACAGCATGATGATAGTGGTGATTATACCTACCCTGTCAGAGGCTAGTGGGCTTGATGCAACTGAATTCTGTTATAAGAAGCCCAATCTCAAAGAATAGAGGTAACTCCTATTACTCGCGCTATCTGCACTCTTAGCCTTCATCATCTCTTTGCATCTTCCACAGAATTCTAACTTAAGCGTCGAAATGTTCCCGCTGGGCAAACCCCCCGGGGATTCTTCATCTTCTCCATCTCAGGTACCTTTCAGGAGCCACGCAAGTGCCAGTTAGGAGTGACCGGATTGCGCACCATCAGAAATCATCACTCTCTCCCTCCACATCCTGTAAGAAGATGCAAGAGTGACTCTAGGGGATGGGTCAACGTTCTCAAAAATTTTCCTGTTTCTAGATTTCCAAATATTCCATAAAAGCAGAAAAGAAAAAACCATTAGGTTCTCTTTTCTATCTCTGCCTATTAAACAAAACTCAACCCAATTTTGAAACCAAGTATTAAAAATTGAATTTGTTCCAACTCTCCCCACCATGAAATTTAGGTGAGATCCAAACTAGGCAGCTCTTGCGTGATCACATTCAAAAAGGCAGTGCATTATAGTTTCAGGATGTTGGTTACAAATAGGGAAAAGGCTGTCATTTGAGAGTTTCCTATTATAGAGATTTTCCTTCACAACCAGGGCATTTGGAGAGCATTTCTATATGAAGTTCTTGATTTTTGGGTCAATTTTTGTTTTCCAAATTTCAGTCCACTATTTTTTCCCCAGTTTAGCCACAGCTTTAGTGGCTGGGACCCTGTTGAGAGATGCTAGGGCATAGTACCCAGTCTTAACTTATAAACACCTTTTGGGTTTAAAGTCCATTTTAACTTATCCTCCCACTCTCCCCTAACTAGATTTATACTCAAGATATTTTTTTTTTGTGATTTCCTCCTCAAAGTTGTCTTCAACCACTCATGTGTTCCACCCTTTACCCACTTCCCTCATGAGGTCCTTTACCCATATCAAATCAGGGTTATATGTTCTGGGCCCCATAATTTTAGTGGATTCTACATTTGTTAAACAAGGATCATCCCAAATCCTTACTTTTGTTTCAACATTTACTGCCCAACAAGCTCCTTTCTGTACAACCTCTCTCGTGGCTACCAAACTTTGCCACCCCCAAGAACCTCTCTTAGGCAGACTATCAGTCAAAAAATTCTATTTTTTAAGAATTTGGCTTTCATGATCTTAACCCACAGGTTATCTTCTTCCACACATAACCTCCAAGCCTACTTAGCCAGAAAGGCTAGGTTAAATTTATAGGGATCCCTAAAACCCAACCCTCCTGCACATTTATTTTTGCTTATTACCTCCTAGCTTACCCAATGAGTTTTCTTTTGTTCCTTTGACCCCCCCCCCCCCCACCTAAATCTCGATTGGATTCTCTTTAGGTCACTACAAATGTTTTTGGGTAGTAGAAAACATGACATTGTATAGTTAGAAATTGCATTGGATAGCAGGGATTCATTCCATTTTGAGAGCAACTTCTCCACTCGCTCAATTAGGAAATTGAAAAGACTTCTCTTAGGCCATGTTCGCTTTTTGGTAAGTTACTTACCTGAGTAAATGTAGTTACCTGGATAAATGCATTTACCCATGTTCTTTTATTTCTCATGTAAATAAGACAATGACCATTTTAGCTATAAAAATCCATTATTAAAATGGGCATTTTTATTCTATACAAGTGTTGGCAACTTTCCCCTTAGGTGGGAAAATTATTTACCCACCTAGGAAATGGGTATCACTTACCCGAGTAAGTGGTACCCAGGAAAATATACTTTCCCTATTCCGGTATTCCCCACATAAATCTGAAAAAAGAACATGGGATTCTTGGTCAATGGGAATTACAATCCCATTGACCAACTTTCCCCCTCTCAAAATCCGAAAAAAGAACGCCCCCTTAGATTTACCAATTTTAGTGGGAAGACCTAGATATATAGATGGGGTATCTACCCTCTTCATTTTTAAAAAAAATTGCCAAAAGCTTTTGCAACCTATGATGCAGATTCTTACTGAAAAAAATCTTGGACTTAGAGAAATTTACCTGTTGACCTGAGGCTTTCCCATAAGATTTGAGAGCATCCAGAATACTTTGCCCCTCCTCCATTTCTTCTTTAGAAAATATCTAATTGTCATCTGCAAAAAACAAGTGAGAGACAGTTGGACAATTCTTGGAAATTGAAATGCCATTTATTTTCTTTTGGGAAGCTAGCTCTGTGAGCTTTGTAGACAGAGTTTCCAAGCAAAGTAAATAAGTAGGGAGACAGAGGGTCTCCTTGTCTCAACCCTCTTTCTGGGATTAACTTTTAACCTGGATTTCCATTAACTAAAATCCTGAAGGAGACAAAGGACACACATTTCATGACCCAGTTAACCCATTTGTCACAAAATCCCATCTTTACCATAGTTTTCTCCAAAAATGTTTCATTCCACCCTTTCATAGGCTTTGCTCATGTCCAACTTCATAGCCATCCAAGGAATTTTTCCTCTAGCATCTTTCATAAAATGAATGATCTCATGAGCTATGAGGATATTGTCCTCTATATATCTACCCGGGGTAAAAACACTTTGATTTACATTGATTAACCTTCCTAACAGTGGCTTAATCCTATTTGCTAAGACTTTAGTTATGATTTTGTAGATGGAGTTACAAAGGCTGATAGGTCTAAAATGAGCAGCCTCCTTTGGGATTTTGATTTTTGGGATCAGGGCTATGAAAGTTTCATTGAATTCCCCGAGTAAGGTTCTGGTCTCAAAAAAAGCTTTTTACAGCCTGGATCACATCTCCTCCCATAGTTCCCCAAAACTTTTGGAAAAATAAATTTGGGAATCCATCAGGACCAGAAGCCTTCCTGGGGGCCATCTAAAAAAGAGCTTCCCTAATTTCTTCATTTGTGACTTCTCTTTCAAGAAGGTCCCTCTCCTGCTCACTCAACCTATTAGTGACACAACTTAAGAACTCCTCTTGCTGCTTAGTTTCCGAAGAGCTAAAAATACCCTTGAAGTGATTTTCCAGTTCTTTTGTAATCTCCTCCTCTAATAGTAACCATTCCTCATTTGAATTCTTGAGAGAAGTTATTTTGTTCCTGCTACTTCTCCCTTTTGCTACTGAGTGAAAATACTTGGCGTTTCTATCCCCCGCTTGCAACCAATTAACTCTGGATTTTTGCAACCTCATAATTTCTTCCCCCTTCAACCAGGTATTCAAGTCTTTTCTAAAGAGTTTACTTTACTTTGGTTAAACTCTTCCCCTACTATCTCTGCTTCCTCACTAAACTGATCCTTGAGGTCTTGAATTTTTTTCTTTACATTTCCAAAAGTTACTCTCTTCCACCTATTCAATTTATCCTTCAAATCTCTACACTTACCCACTAACTTCACCTCACTGGACCCTCTTCTATTATTACTCCAAGTTCCCTGCATGAGCTTTTGAAATCTTCGCGATCAGTCCACATTTTCTCAAATCAAAAAAATCTTCTCTAATATTTTACCTTGAAATCCGTACCCAAAAAAATAGGAAGGTGGTCTGAACCTACTGCGACTAGGATTTTCACCTTGCAATTTTGGAAATGATTCAGCCAGAGAGTATTACCTACCACTCTGACAAGTTTGGTTCTGTATGCCATACTT